CATCGTCTCTGCCCCGCTCTGCGCCCGCGCACGCTGGGCGCTCGAGCCCCCTCGGCTGCCGACGGGACCCCAGGGCCGAACCCGCTCGGCCGCCGCGCGGGCCAGGCTTGGGTCGGGCACGTCCCCTCACAGGCAGATCCTGGACGAGAAATGAAACTGAAGGGGCCCTGGGACACACAAACAAATACACACAAATAACAAGACTCCCCATGTTTTTCCATATCTTCTGGGTTTGTTTGTCTTCCCCCCCAATTCCCATGTTTTCCTATATTTTCCTGGGAGTCGACGATTCATTGAGTCTGTGTGTTTCTTTCCCTCCTGAGAAACAGAGCCGAAGGATACTCAGGAGCGGCCAGAAAACATAAGGAGAGAAAATCGCCCCCAGACGATTTTTTGACTGTTTTAGAATTTCTCTGTAGAGGGACACTCCCGCCTTAAGGTTGAGTCGGGCCTGTCCCCCTACAGGGGGATTTTGGACGGAAAAAGACAACACAGTCAAACATACCCTAAATCAAAAGTGGCCCCAAAATCGCCCCAGGCTATTTTTTGACTATTTTGGATTTTCCTCCCGCAGAGGCACACGTCCGCCTCGAGGCCAGGCTCCCGCTGCACCTCGTCGACCTCGGGCCCGCGCGCCCGCCCGCTCGTCGGCCGCGTGGGCTCGGGACGCCGAGCGCGCACCGGGCGGGAGCCCCTGGAGGCCCACCCTCCCTGCCGCGCAGCCGCGCGCGGCGCGGGCACTCCCGCCCCGCCTCCCCAGGCATCGGGCGTCTCGAACAAATCGAGGCAGAGGTTTTTCATAGTCGAGGCAGAGGTTTTTCATAGTTTGTGGCCTCGCAGGGCCCTCGCCGGGCCTCGGGACCGTCAAAAAACGACTCGGGATGAAAAACGGGTCCCAGGGAAGTGGTCGGAAGGTCGGGGGCCCGCGTCTCGAAAAAATCGAGACGTCGGATGTCTGGGTCGGACCCCCTCCAGACAGCCGGCGCCGCGCGACCTCTCCCGCAGCTCGGCGGCGACGATAGGGGCGAATAGCCCAGGGGTGGGCATTACCTTGTCGAAGATACATCATCGGCACCCCTGGGTACCTGTATTGCTCCCCCCTGGGCTATTCGCCCCTGTCGTCGCCTCCGAGCAGCGTGGGCCCCCGGGAGTCCCGACCCCTTCCCCCCCGGGCCAGCGATCCACATCCTGAGTCGTCCACGGCGATCCTGAATCGCGCCAAAGCACAATTCGTGGAGCTTCGAAACCGCGAATCAATGCAACTGATGTTTCCTGACGGTCATGAGTCGCTCCACAGCACCATTGGGGGTACGTGCAGCACGAGAACCAAAGGATCGCGCGCAATGTGTAAGAATGGATGCGCACCGCGCAAAGGCGAGAACCACAATTTGAAAAGGAGCCGACATTAATCAACGAACCTCTTACATCTAAAAAAACGGATGTGTGCGGCGCCATGGCGAGAACCACATTTTGAAAACGACCTGCCCTACGTCCGCGAAGCTCTTCTAACTTTTTGAAGACACAAATGCACGCGGCGCTGAGGCGAGAGCCACATCCTGAAAACGACCCGCCCTCAATCCGTGAAGCTTATGTTGTTTACACGAATATGAGTGGCGATAAAGCGAGAACCACGTTTTGAAAGCAACCCGACCTCAATCCGTGAAGCTCTTGCATTTGTTTACAACGGGTGCGCGCGGCGCTGAGGCGGGAACCACATTTTGAAAATCGCCCGTCCTCAATCCGTGAAGCTGCTGCACATGTGTTAAGCGAATGTGCGCGGCGCTAGGGCGATAGCCACATGTTGAAAACCACCCTTCCTCCATTTGAAAAACGGCTGCCGGTTTCAGAGCGTCAGGCTCATACATGGTGAGGAAGTCCAGAGCAAAACACCTGGCCCGGCCTTCCGACTGGCCTCGGGGTGCGACAGGGAGGAGTTATTCGGACGGAGAAGGAATGGACAAGGGAGAGGCGGGGGAGAAAAAGGAGGAGGAAAAGGACGAGTACGAGGAAAAAGAGGCGAGGGAAGAGGAGGAGGAGGAGGAGGAAGAGGAAGAAGCGCTCGTGCCCTGTCGGGCGCGAAGCGACCCCTAATAAACCGTCCCCTTCCGCGACGTCACCCTCGCCTTTCAAGCTTCCCTCCGGCAACACACACCACACGTCTTGGGGCGAGGCGGAGGGGGCGTCGAGGAAGGGGATGGCATGCTCGGGGTCGGTTAGGCTGCCCCCGACCCTCAAGAGAGCTCGTTAGATGTGGCTATATTCAAGGGGCCCAAGGACACACAAACAAATACACAGATAAAATGGTTCCCCATATGTTCCCATATGTTCTGGGTTTTTGTCTTCCCGCCCGATTCCCAAATGCTTCGATATTTTCTTGGGGATCGTCGATTCATTGTGTCTGTGCTTTTTGTCCCCTCCTGGTGTATGGGTGTCGCCCGGGAACAGGCCGGGCGCGCCCCGCTCCCGACATGCGCTTGGCCCGGGGCAGCGCTGGCCCTGGCGGGTGGCGGGCGGAGCGCAGTGTTGCTCCGCCAGCCAGCGGCGGCGAGGGGGGTCTGGCCCAAACAGACGAGCGCGTTCCACGACTCGCGAAATAACTGCTCTTAGTTCGGGCAGGTCCTCCTAGCGAGCGACCTCGTCCCGATGTTCGACCTTTACGGCTTGTTTTTCGACCTCCCCCTCTCCATGTTCACGTTCCCCAAGGTTCTAACTTTCGTTCAGTTGTTCCTGATGTACAACCCGCCCCTGTCCTCCTACAAGCGGATATTGAACGAGATACTTGATACAAAAAATCAAACCATACTCCCAAACAACCAAAACATAGCAGAGAAACTGTCCTTAGCCTATGTTTGAATGTAAAGAGGGAGAGAGAGAGAGAGAGAGAGACAAGCAACGATGCAGACATGTTTTTTCTCGAACGTTTGCCAGCAGGCACTTTGCGAGTAGTGGAACGCGCTCTGTGAGTGGAGGGCTCTGCCTCGAGGGCCGCCGCAGCAGCTGCCCGAGGTTGTCCTGGCCCGAGGTGCTCCCCCGCTTTGTCGCGCCAGCTTGGAGCCCCTCGAGGGGCCTCGTGCCCTCGTGCGGGGTGCTCTGGACGCCGCCCGGGCCCCCCTGGAGGGAGGCCCTTGGGGGCACTTTTATGCCTACCTACCAAGACCACCCCAACCCAAGCCGACGACCCGACTTTCGGGTTGGGGGGGGGATACGGGCTTTCAATGGTTTTCCTTCCCGACCCACCTTGCCGGAAATGGAAGTCAAGTCAGTCAGGGCCTTCGGGTTGGGTTGGGGTGCTTTGGTGGGCGGTGATCTTTTTGCCAGGGACCCTCCTCCAGGGCAGCTGTGCCCGCGCTTCGCGAAGCGCGGAGCGGCGCGAACCGCCTCGCGCGCTGTAGCAAACCTCGAGGCGTATGCGTGCACCCGGGGGGGGGTACATCACGACCTGATGCGATCACGAGCAACGTGCGCTCGCGAGAGTGGCACATAGAGGAGGACGGGGACGCACCCTGCCCCGGCGGAGGCTGCCGCGCGCCCGCGCCGGCGCCTGCGCCGGCGCCTGCGCCGGCGGAAGCGGACCGCCCCCCTGCGCCCCGGGGCCAGCCCCACGCCCTCCTCCTCTCGCTGAGGAGGGAGGGGGAGGAGGAGGAGGAGGAGGAGGAGGAGGAGGAGGAGGAGGAGGAGGAGGAGGAGGAGGAGGAGGAGGAGGAGGAGGAGGAGGAGGAGGAGGGAGGAGGAGGGGGAGGGGGAGGAGGGGAGGGGGAGGAGGAGGAGGGGGAGGAGGAGGAGGGAATCGTTTCGCGACCCCGTGGCGGCCCTCGGGCGCCCGGGGATCGGCGGAGGGGCAGGGCCGGCGAGCCTGCCGAGCAGCCAGGCGTAGGGGCCACGCGCGCAGCAGAAGCCACCCCCACCCCCACCCCCCGGGCCGTCTGCTGGCCGCGCGCAGAGGGGGGGGTTATGGGGGGAGGGAGGAGGGCTTCTCGGAGGCACCCCTGCTTCTTCGGAGGCGCGGGCCGTACCTCTGGAGACAAGGCCCGCGCCCTCTCAGAGAGCAGGGATGCTCCTGAGAAGCCTTCCCCCTCCCCCTATACCCCCTTCAGCGCGCGTGGCCAACTCTGCGCGAAGGTATGATTCTTACGCCAGAAGATATAGCGGCTTCCCGCCCACTTCCCATATTTTCCCAGATGTTCGGGGGAATCGAAGATTGTTTGTGTCTGTGTGCTTCTTTTCATCTTGATTTTCTGCGTCGCTCATCTGAAACTGGGGGCAGGATCGGTCAACACCGACTCGGAAGCCGGCTCGGCTCGGCCTGTGCGTCCGGTCGGGCCGCGTCGGCCCGGACCCGGCATCGACTCGGATCCGCCGCGCCGGGAGGCGCAACCGCGCCTCTGGCCTGCACTGCCTCGTCGGAACATCGGGGTGTCGGCATCGGATCGGGCTGGCCGGAAACGGCAGCGAACTGGATGGGAGGAGGAGGAGGGGGAGGAGGAGGAGGAGTAGGAGGAGGAGGAGGAGGAGGAGGAGGAGGAGGAGGAGGAGGAGGAGGAGGAGGAGGAGGAGAGGAGGAGGAGGAGGAGGAGGAGGAGGGGAGGAGGGTGGAGGGAGGAGGAGGAGGAGGGTGCAGGGAGGAGGAGGAGGAGGAGGAGGAGGAGGAGGAGGAGGAGGAGGAGGAGGGTGGAGGGAGGAGGAGGGGGGGGGGAGGGAGGAGAAACGGCTAGCTCGGGACTCGAGCCTCCTGCCTGCGTCGTACTCTCAGCCCCTCCCGCCCTGCCTAGGTCCCCCTCCTCCTTCGGCTGCACGCAAGAATGACCCTGGACAAGAGCGACCTTCGGTGCGCGACTTCAGGGGGCCGCGTGGGAAGCCAAATCCAAGCAATCCAAGCGCATCAGCCCTGCTGGTGGAACCCCTGTTGGCCACGCAAAAAGTCACTCTGGCGGTCACTCTTACGCGTAGCCGACTCTTCCCGGCTACACACACAAGAATGGCCCTGGGCAGGAGTGGCCCTTGGCGGTTTCTCGCGTGTGGCCGACTCCGGAGCCCTTCCTCTGCGCTCACCCTCCCCTGCCATCTGCCATTCCCTCCGGGCCCCTGCGCCGCCCGAAGGCTCACTTCTTGCCCTGCTTCCTGCGGCCCTGGTTCCTTCCCGTGGACTTGTCCTTGGAGACCTCCACCTGTGCCGTGGAGGGGCCCTGCTTCCTGAAGGCGTTGTCGTCGGCGGGCATCGCGCCCTGGGGCCCCCGCAGCATGACCCTGTCGCGCTTCTTCATCTTCTTCTTGAACTCCGTCCTCTCGCGCTTCGGCAGCCAGCGCTCGGGGTCGGGAGGCGGCCCAGGGTTCTCTGGGTCGTAGCTCTTCGGGTACCGTATCTTCTTCTTCTTTTTCGTCTTCGCGGACTTCGCCTTTTCTGCCCCTTCTCCCTCCGCATCCTTCGCCTCGCGCTTCTTGAACAAGCCACCCACCTTCGGGATGGCGGACAGCTCCAATTCCTCAGGGTCGAGGTGGCCGTAATCGGGCAACTGAAGGCGCTGCGCGTACTGCTCCGCTTCGTCTGGGCTGGTCCCCGCCAGCGC